TGGGTAACTGTTGCATTTAGGCGCTAATTAGTAGCATGTTGAACGCCGGCAACAGACTTCGCACTCCTAAGATGAGGTTAGTTTGATGTTGCTCGATCTTCGTGACGCTACTGTGGCTATGCTCATCCAACAAGTCTGTCTTCCGCTTAATTGTGGACTGTCATTCCGTTTATATACACTTCGTCGAAGTATTTGTACTATTTTATCCTGACTGGTTAGCTTCTCCACGACTTTTTTGAACGCTTTCTTTTTGCTGGTACTATCCTCACGTCGCCACTCTATTGCAGTTCATCTTTCAACGTTTCTATGTCTTCCTTAAAGCACTGATTTTCTTGCATCAGTGATGTATTAGCCAAAGTATGGGGGCCTAACATGTGTGGCACAAAGCTAGCCTACATTTCTTCTATCGCCTGCATTACTTTTTCTAATTCTATTCTTCCTACCTTGTCTGCTTCGTCTTCGTCAAATCCTTAAAATCCTTCTTCAATGTCACTGTCGACTATTGTTTGTATTGTTTGTTGAACGCGAATGTCTAGAATATTGTTACCGTCTGCAATAATCTGGTTATTGTCCGCAAAGCACACATCAGTCCTAATTGCGCGGCAAACCACCGGAGCATCCACACTGATGTGCGAACGTTGCTCGTCCTCCTTTCAAGCTTCTTCTATTTATGTCTGGACTTTGTACGGTTTTCCCTAACTACCTCCACATAAACTACATGATTTCGTTAAACTTCTCTGCTATCTGCTACCACACTTCTTTTTTACCTTTTCTATAATATCCCTTCTGGGTCCACAAGATGGGATGTTTCTTTTAAACTTCGGGGAAAATTTTAATTTATATATTTGTATAATTTTACAGCTCTACATGATGAACATTTCAAATTAATAATTATAATTATATACTAAATGCTTATTCACTAAATGGGTATTTCTATTATCAGCCACGATTTTAGAGTTTTTTTTTACTTTTAACACACGATGAACTGTTTTGGAGACCTTTCGTCAGCCTCTAGAAACTAGCTCTGCTTTAAAAGGAACATAGAACTATCATCAATCTCTAAAGGTTCTCTTTAAAGCCAGCGACTTATGGATTTATAAATTTCTTTAGACTTCTTTAATTCGCTAATGAAAGAAGAACAGTTTGTAATATTAAAAGCACAGTTAGACTAATAGATTAACGTTGATCATTTCCAATTAAATTCTACGAATATATAAATCAGTTATGTTTATCGTTCTAACTTTTAAAGATCGAATAAGGTGGGCGAATCAATTTTTCTTTATTCGCTCCTCATGTAAGACTGAAAATAACGCCGCATAGATTATGTTGGATATGCATTCATATACCTTTCTTAGGAACAAGAGAATGATTTCTGCTTTGTATTCAAACGCTTTTAGGACATCTATGCATCTTTACATTGGTACCATTATCAAGCAGTTTTTTTATTATTCAATATATGCATTTTTTTCACATTCACTTGATTCGATTTTATTTTTACAAAAAATAAAATAAAATAAATAAATTTCATATTCTCTTTGAAAATTGCATTTTCCTTCTCAAGAAAAACGTTTTGTTTGGCTTACATATTCAAATTATGAAATGATTTTCAAATACTTAAAAAAAAAAGTTTTCTTTTCGTGTATTTACTAATAAATGTTTCGAGATACCAAAAAATTTTACTCACTGTAAAAAAACTCACTTTAGTTTGAATCATCGATATTCAATATATTAAAAAAAGATATAAAGGAAAAAGTTGTATAAAAATTCACACAGTTGCTAGAAATGAAATGACAAATTTTTTGCGGCAGCATCTATTGATGACAAACATACCCATATAACAATCGCTGGGAACTAAAGAGACACCGAAGAGATTTCTAGGCAAATTATACGACTTTGAGACGAGTCTTCTTTTCAATACACGAAATAAATATTCTCACTTTTAATTTGTTCAATTTGTTGAACAATCTTTATTTCTTCAAATTTTACACCACAATTGTTGTTATCTTTGTTTTTTTTTATTATTATTGTTATTATTATTATTATTATTACTATTGTTATAAAACTTAGCCAGAGAATAAATTCGAAGACTAAAGTTTTAATGCACTAGCGTCTAAGGCTTTCGGCTATATTAAAAACACTACCGCACTTGAGATTTGAACCCACGACCATTCAGTTGCTAGCCGAGATTCTTGCCTACTCAACCACTCACGCAGATTGATTCTTTTCTTATTTTTATTTTTTTCAAGTTTATTTAAGATATTTTTTGATTTTTATGCAATTTTTCACCCTTGTTCAGTTTTGCAGCAACTTCACGCACTTATAAAAATTTCTTTGTTTCCGCAAAAGACGGTTAGCTGGTTTTATTTCTTTTTAAGTTTAAAAAAAAAAAACCATAATGAGAATAGAGAGAAAACAATAAATAAATAAATGGCAGGGCTTTGACATGAAAAAAAAAAGAACAAAGTTATTCACGTATTCATAGTTTTCTGTTAAAAGTCCTGGTAGCTCTAGCCAGACTGCAAGTAATGTTAAAATATAATAGTATGATCTCTGTTAAAAATATATATTTCTGCTAAAAATGATAACAAAAAAAAAATTGTGGGGAGAAAATTTCTTAACTTTTGTTTAGTTTTATTAAAAAACGTTTTTTCACACATTCTAGTTGGTTTTTGGAAATTTTGAGACACCAGCGCACTGGTTTCTGGCAATTTTGAGAAACATTTCAGAGATTTATGCTACAGATGGTTCTTTTAAAAAATTTCGTGCAAACGTGTCAAATATAAGAGGAAGTAAAGTAAAATATCATATCAATTAATTTTGCTAGCAAAATTTAAAGTTTATAATTGCGAAACGAAAGATGCAAATCTGAAAATAATAGTTAATGAAAAAGTTTAAACAGACGTAATGTGCAGTAATATCTTTCACAAAATTTCAAATTCAATAATAAATGAGTTGTTGGTCAATCATAATTAATATTAAATTTAATATGAATTCCATATTAAAATTTATTTAACTTTTCTTTTATTCCTAGTTTTGAATGCTGTCGCATTTGTCCTTATTTATAATGAAAGAATCTGTTAAATTGCAAAGCCACAAGGTTTAGAGCCGTTGGCTGTATGCTGATGACTAGCGAACTTCGAATTCTGGCAAATTAAAGGAGAAGAATTACCACTTGTTGCAATGTATTTGAACTTCGAATTTTGTTACTTTAGAGCGTAAGTGAAAGAGTTTTCTAGCTAACATCGTATTTTGTACATCTGCTTGCGAATGTAAGTATCCATGTGAAGGTATGGCGAACGATAAATAAATGCTGGTAAAGTATACACTTAATGAGTTTTCAATTAAACTACTTAAAATTAATATTCCAACAATCCGCCTGAATGGCCGAAAGCGAGGAATCTCGCCTGGCAACTCAATGGTCGTGGGTTCAAATCACAAGTGCGGTAGAGTTTTTAATAAAAGCCGAAAGCCTTAGATGCTAGCCCTTTAAGTCTTAGATTTTTAGTCTCTGGCTAAATTTATAATAATAATAATAATAATAATAATATTCCAACTTGATTTTGATTCTATAATTCGACTATTTCGATTTTCGTAAAAATTTAATATAAAAAATATCGGCCACAATAATAACACCTTTCAGAGACCTGCAGAAAAACAATTCATTCATTAAAAACTGAAAGGCCAAGGCATCAAAAAGACGTATTGCAGCTTGAGATTATAACGAAGAACCCAGTTGAATGAAAATAGCTATGCAGTTAATTCCATTCCTTAAAATAACTTGAACATTACAACATCATTAAGCAACAAATATTTGAAAACGAGCAATAACAACATTAACGTAAAAGCGAACTAAATTGTTGATTGATTAATGATATGAAATGAAGCAAAATGGCTTTAAACGAAGCATGTTGAAACAGCGTAGAGTCAGACCACCATTGAAAAAAACTTTAGAGTTTACATGGGAGTTTGCGTTTTGAGCATGATATAAGTACATGATATGAGCCAATTTTTCCGCAAATAACCTGTGCGAAACCGTTGTTGATCTAAATGCTGAGTGATGATCTGATAATGACGTTGCCACTTTATAAATATATCAGAATAGTGCCACAGACTGTCACCTACGGCAAAGAAACAAATTTCACCAAGTCCAGAATTGCAGATTGGAGAAGAAAACTCTTTATTTTTCTTATAATAGAGTGCCTTAATTTTTTTTGTGATTTTTTGTTAATTTATCAAGCTAATCTTTATTTTATTCCACCTATAAATTATATTTACACTTTAATCACTTCACTTTATTATAATGAAAATAACGTGTTTACTTTCATTTGCAGTGCTTATTAAATGATTTTTTCTTTTGTTAAAAGTTGCAGACAGAATTTGAAATTAGTATGACGTATTTAGAAGTTTCAGAGGCCATATATTTATAAGTTGTGAATGTTGCCAGCTTCTAAACTTTTAAGTGAAGGTATATCTTCGAAATATTAAAAAATGCATCGATTTTAGAAATACGGTGTTTCTATTGTAAAAAGAACGATAAATCAATAATATATATATATTATCTATTGTCGATTTCCAGACTCGTGGAGGAAGCAAAATAAGAATCTTCGCACAAAAATTTATATCGAAAGCTCGCGTTTTGTAATTTAATATAAAACGCTTCCCTCTTTATTTTTCCAAAAAAACTAATTTGAATATTTTTTCAGTTCTGGCAATAATGTTATCAAAAACATATTTGTTAGTAAATCCGTACACTGTATGTAAAAACGAAAAGGAGAGAAAAAATTATCGTGTGAAAGATTTACAAGCGTTAGAAAAATAAAGTTTCTAAAATTTTATTGAAGATACATTTGAAAAACTACAAAATTCTCCAAAAATAATCAATCAATAGATTGGGAAACAAATTAAAGCAATAAGTAATTATTGAAGATAAACTGAGTAAAAACAATACAAGTTTGTGTGTAAAAAAAGTATCTAAAAAAAAATCAACCACGAAAAAGAGCACAAAACAACAAAGAAAAACATCCAAATTTATAGAAAAGTAAAATTATTATCCGGAATGTAAGGATATTTTTAAATTTGATAGTGAAAAGAATTAAAAAAAATAGTTTTTGGCTTAAAATAAGTTTGTGTTTGAATATGAAACAAAAACTCTAAATCTTTGGAGTGCAATACGAAAAAATTATCCAAATCTTTATATATGCATGGATGAATATACGTACATATATATATATATATATATATATATATATTCTGCATAGATAGTTTGGCATTTCATTTGCGCCACTTTCGTGGCAAATCAGTTTTTTAGGCATTTAGTTTTTCTTACAATATTTCTGCTAACCAGCTATAAATTGCTTAATAGGTTTAGTGAGCGATTGTTTTCCTGGCCGCTTGCGTGTATTTGTTGACTTGAAATATTTTTTCAAGACCTAGCGCTTTCTGGAGCAATAAAATTTGTTCCCATATGTAACTTTCCGCCTGAAACTCTTCTCCTGTGAGCATGTAAACATGCATCAGTGCGTTTGTGTTCATATCCTGCAATTTGATATACTTGTCTTTCCTAGCAGATAGAAACAGTATATGCTCAGCAATTATCATAATTACATGCATATAATGCATAATTCCTATAAATATGTTACTATACATATTTAATCAAGTGAATTTATGTCGTAGGATGCAAATGTTTACTTTATTTATTATAATTTTTTTTATATTTATTCATGAGAGTGCTTTATATGAGAAGTTTACCTTCCTTTTTCGAAATTTGAATTATGTATACGATACATACCCTTTCACGACGACTGCGTACGTATGTCTACAATGTCAAGTTATGTTAATTAGTTTTGATATAGTGGAGACTGTGGCAATTGTTTTTAATCATCGGTAGAAAGTAATTTAAATAAGTAATGTTGCCAAGGGAAGAAAAAGGAATCTGTTTACCATGGGTTTGCTGCATGTTGAAGCTCTGCATTTTGTTTTAGACCAGGCTTTTTATGAATAGATAAAAATCTATAAAGGAATGAAAAAGCTCCAAATGGTTGAATGGGAATGAATCGGCTTAGTATCTAATACAGATCATTTGTCTAGATATTTAAAACCATTTAAAGATGTATTTTTAACGTTAATGGTAACGTTCCCAGTTGTTTCATGTAACATTATTCCTTATAAGATACTTCGCATTGTGGATTGTATGTTAGCTTAGTATTATTTTTTAATGAAAGAGAGATTACGTGATGGCTTCAGCTTTCAGAACGATTTCGCTGTCTAAGCATCAAATTTATTTGGAAAATGTGAAGCATACATTGATCAATTCATTTTTTAAAACCCTTTTGTCTAGATTTCGTCAAGTTTGCTAAAAGGTAATCTTATCTAATTCACTTAACTTCACTATTAACTCGATAATTTACATTTCATACATAAGGGAACAAGATGTCTGTGCATAAGTGGAATAAGTGAGAGATGCTAGTCGAAGCGCGTCGAAATGGACAAATCGAGATAATACAATTTCTTTTATCTAATTCGACCCTTTTTAAATTTTACTAACGCTTTTCAGTTTGGAATTGAGAAGAAATCTTCGAGATCTTATTAATCGTAACCTGCACAGATTCGCTGAGTGCACTTGAAAATATAGTTTTTAATTTTTTCTTTATTGGGTTTCCCTCTTCGTTGCGCCTCGTTTCATTTTTAATTTATAAACAACTATTTGGTTGCGTCTCGGTTTATTTTCAATTTATAAACAACCACTTGGTTGCGCCTCGTTTCATTCTTAATTTATAAACAACCATGGTCGAAATTCTAAAACCTCTTCTAAAGACATTTGAATACATTATTCTCACAAGGTTGGCATATGGCATGTGTGATTGGACATTCGAAATTCCGAAGGGTGGAAAAATTCTTTCTCAAAACTACATGCAAACGCAAAGAATGGGCTCATTTATGGAATAAGCCCTCAAGAGAATAAATATTTTGATTTAAACCAGCCTTTACTTTATTCAAATTATAGTCAATTTTCGAATGGTGTGATCTAACGTCATAAAGCTTCCTTTTCACTTTTTAATGCTATTTTTAATGTAAAAATATTGTTATCATCTGTTCAGATTATTGGATTAGCCAATTCTCTTTTGCTCTCTTTCTCTCGTCGAATGATGTTTTCAATTTTCAGTATTTTTGTTGTAACCAAAAATAAATTGATTTTCGTTTTCTTTGAAACATTTGTTCTTTTATTATAAATAGTAAGTGAAATGTTAATTCTTCTTGTTGTTTGTTATCATTTTATAAAGCAAAAGACACAAATGTTTATATGTACAGTTAGCCTTTTACCGAGGTCGCACATCGATTATTGTACACTGTTTATCGAAATATGCAGGATTTGAGCAGGTATTCCAATTCATCCTCGAAAGAATTGGCGCGATATAGTACCTTAAAAAAAAACGATGGCCACTGACATGAATAGAGGGAATTGCTTGCCAAGTAATTAATTAATACACGGAATTAATGAAACGTGTTATGTAAGATATTAACTAACGAACTTATTAATAAAAATTGCTGAATCAAATCCGGTCTTCCGGTAATTAAAAGCTATTATAATCTAATCAAAGCTTCTATATTTTTTGTTGGCAAATGTCACGCTCAATTTCGTGTTCGGTACTAAGACGTCCAGCCCAAGTAGAATATTATTTCTTTCCTTTTTTATGTTGCAGTGGCTTATTGCGTCATCAATTTTCCTATATAACGTGCGTTTATTGTAGAAATGACATTAAAAACTTTTACAAATAAAAGTATATTAAATAAGTGTTTTCAGTTTTCAGACATTATACAGATGGGCCGACGAATATGTCTAGATAGATTCAACATTCGATATGATGGATTTTCTGAAGCTTTCTTCTGGTGTTGCTGACATTTTGGCAAAACGAAAAATCACTATCTATGCTCTCTAATATTGGCCAATTGGCTAAGCGGGACCAATGTTTTTCACTTTTCTACACATGCAATACATCGACAATAGAGTATATATTTAAATTTTCATTGGTTTATCTTCAGTAGTTTAGAGTGTGGGGAATAATTTTCCTTTACTTTTGAAAGCAGAGGTATTGACACCTTAATAGGAATCTGCCTGCATGAATTTCAATGTATTTACATATATCTTAATTTTTGCGTGACTTTACGCAGACAAACATCAATCAATCAATCAATGATGGAGAGTATATTTACTTTATGGGATCATTGAAAACTCCTTTTTGCAAATGTTTTGATAAATTGAATATACTTCCTTCCACAGTGGTTGGGCATAAAAAAAGGCGCTATCGAAATCATTTATGCAAGGCATCTTTAATTTGAGGAGCTCCGAGGCAGGCAGGCTGAATATAAAACCGCCTTTTCGTAGTGCTTGTGGAAATGCCCGGAATTTCAAGGGGAAACTATTTGCTCAGGTGGTGAACATTTTTTTCGTATATTTTACTAAGTTGAAAGGATTAAAGGGAAGCCAATAAGAAAAGTTATCGAAAATTTATAATGCCACCGTCCCACAATCATTCTCATCCACTTACATAGAAAAAATACCGCTTCTTATTAAATACTTGAGATTGGCTTCTAGCAAGCCAAGTTGCGTCCCTTGTTGTCAAGCAAAATCATGTGGTGCTGAACAAATTGACTATCTAACCTTGTGCTTAAATAATGTAAATATTAAAGAGCTAAAAAATTACTTTCAAATTCGATTTTTAAGGAGCAACTAACAAGTGCTTTTATATTTCATAACTTCACGATAGTTAATGTAATATTCATAATTAAATTCTATAATATCCTTTCATCAATTTTCCCGTCAATCTTTGGGTTAAAAAGCAGAGTCTTGACATCTCTATTTTCATTGATCAAGTATGGAAACTGAAAAGACTTATAAGAAACAAAAGTAGAAAAAAACCCAAAAAAAGAAAACTCGCAAACTAAGAGGAAGGAATTGAACAAACAAAAGTTTGTAAATGTGACAAACTAATGCAGATGTCGATCCACAAGCTAATATTCAATGAAATCATCTAGAAAGATTTTCAAATTTGTCCTATTTGAAAACGAAATCGATCTTAGTTTGTCTGTCCCTCTGCCCTTGCTTTCCACCTACACGCCGCAATTTTCGGGATAGTTTGATAAAATTTGATACTCTGACGTGTTTTGATGCTATTGAAAATGGTTCGGATCAGACATTTTCTTCGACCTCTTCCCATATAACGACTTATTTTAAAAAAGTCTTTATATAAATAAGTTTACGGTGATGTCGGCTATTTAATAATGGACCGCAGCCAACTGTGGTTTTTTTTGCTCAATTTATTTGCACTAAAATATATGAACGCATTAACTTATTGTTCCGCTTAAAGAAAGATTATTAAACTCAATTTTTCTGGTGCACACTTTTGCAGAGAATTGCTTTTGAAGTCGACCTCTTGGCAAAGATTACGAAAAGCATATATTCTTCTTCCAATTCCGTTGATTGTTGAGAAATTTTGAGAATGTTAGGACAAAGTATATAGAGACTACAAATATAAGAAAGCTGTTGTCGACGTTTTTATGTTTTCAATAAAACCAACGTAGCCCTTTCCATCGTTATCGCTATTCACAAATACATATGTCATATAGAGAGCGGTTAATTAAAAAAATTCCCACCGAATGAAGGATACAATTATTTTTCTTGTTTTCGCGGATTTATATAAAATTTTAAAAATGATTTTAAGTATATTATCTTTAAAAATATAAAAAGAGATAAAAAAAGCAAGAATGTGGCCGAGATTAGGAGGAATGTAAAGTGAAAAACTGTAATGATCTGCAATAAGTAGTAGTAAGTAAAAGAAAGACATGATACGCCATACACGTAAATGCAAACGTACCCACTAAAAGGTAGCAAGAGGCAATCGGAGACAACAACAATATATCACCAAATATGCTTATACATATATATATATATATATATATATATATATATATATATATATTATATATATCGAAATATCTGTATTCTTTCATTCGCTTGCCTCACATATGTTTTATCATCAAAACGATTTCATCTTCCATTTGGCACCTCCAAGTGTATAAACAACAACAACGACTGCATGCTTGGCTAAAATTGCCATATGAAGCGCCGTAAAATGACTTGTTGTTTAAAAACTAAAAGTTCATTAAATGTGCATGAAAACAAAGCGTACTTTGGTGCCATTGCCATATACCAGAGAGCAAACCGAACACAAAATGCAAAAGAATTTGAAAAAAAGTTTCCTTCAGTTTTACTCAACACTTATAACATGGGCTGCGTGTATAATGGCAGCGGTGTTGTAAACGGCATTTCGGTCAGATTCAAAAATAGCCGCCTCCTACATCATACATACATGTATATGTGTATATTTATGTATATGTATATGCTTATGTATATATTTACATATATCTAAATACGTATATAACATTATAAATGTTTGAGATGCTATAACCTTTATTTGGCAGTTAGTCGCTCGTTCTCTACCTCCCTCTTTTCTTTTTCCTTCCGCGGATCACAGACGTTAAGTCTTAGAATTGCCATGTTTTGTCTCCATTATATATTCTCCATTCTCGTTAATTTATTCTGTTAAAAAAAAAAAAAAAAATAGATTTTCGTATAATTTACATAAATAAATCACCGTTTTATTGTCCAACTTCTTAAATTTATTATTTATTCTTATATTTCTATTTTATTTACTTATTTATTTTTTTTCCTAGATTTTAATTGTTTTTGAACGAGTCTTTTTTCTACAGAACGTGAAAAATTACAAATTTCAAAATGAAACGTCGTAATGCCGATTGCGGCAAATTGCGAAGACCTATAAAGCGGAATAAAATCACCGAAAGCATGTATGGCAGGTAAGTAAGTGTCTAAGTTTGTAAATTTTAATATTTCCCCACCTTACGATAAGTAACATAGAAATAGAGAAAAACGTTTAGATATTTTATTTTCGTTCATTTATTTAAAGTTCACAACAGTCCAAGGCTTTCAGTTAGCTTTTTGGGAAACGGTCTTACGAAAAGTTTACCTTTTTTCATTATAAATATCATTCAATAAGCCATATGATCGGGTTGATCTAAGCAATACCATAAAAGTTAATTGATTTATTGCCCTTTTTTTTTGTTACCCTACATCATTTGTTGTAGAGAGTATTATTTTCGTGCCATTGTAACCCCCATAATGAATTGAGATGATCCAACATTTTATTATGTTAATCTGAGCTTGTCTGTGCGGTTAATGTCTCTCGATGTAAGGTTGTGTTCAACTTACACGCCGCAATTTTCGGGATATATTCATGAAATTTGGTACGCTGACATATTTAAGGCCAAGGACGCACGCTATTGAAAATGATTTACAACCGACCACACATTTCCCAGAATTTTCAAAAAAATATTGTAATTTTTAGAACTTTGCGAAAAAAATCGTTACTAATGAAATTTCGTCATTATAGATTGGAGTGAAAACCTTGGATCGAATTTTTTGAATCCCTTACCATATAACTCTTATTAATTAATTTTCAATATTTCGTAATAAAATCGTCATAACAAGTGACTTTACCGAATTTTGACCACGTTAATCTATTCTTCGGGTTATAAGGATTCTAATGAAAAGTGAAGCTTTGTACGTCAAAAAGATGTAATTTTTAATGATTCATGATGAAAATTTCTCCTTAGAAAATCAACCATAGGGAATTTGAATCACAAAGATCTATGTTTTACCATATATAGAGCCTCTTATGAAAGCAGTCCCTTTTATGGAAGCCAAGCTTAGTTTGGGATCTGTTATGACGAAATAAACTGGAAAGTAATAAATCATTGGCAAGTAAATTAAGTTTGCTAAACTTAGACCATGTTGACATTTGAGTATCTTCCTATATAAGGGCTACCATCAATGGAATACTCTACCAGGTTCTAAAGGTTCTAATTTCCAAAATCTTTTATTAATTTATATTTTTACCATATCATGAAAATAAGTGAAGAATAGTAAGAAAATGAATTATGATAAATTTTAAACGCTTGTCCGCTTCTGCTCTCCCTCCAATAGAAAAGATGCTATAAAAAAATACATCAAGAATTATATTAGATGTGTGCTTAGGTGTTATAATAGTTAGTCTGCTTTGCCAAATTGAAATTTTTTACACCCAAATGAAGTTATTGCCGTTAGCGGTTATAACCGAAATTTGAAAAACATGGTGAGATGTGCACTGTTCTACACAGGTAGATTTTGTCAGAAAAAAACAGAAAAAATATGAAAAACTAAGCTTTCGGATTATTATCCATTTTAATCACGTTTTATATTACTTTAACGCTTAATATTAAAAAGTAATTTTGATTGTTTTCTTTATTATTTTTTATTTAGCACAACTGTTTTATACATGAAATTTTTAGTATTATGGGCAATTGTGATAACTGCAGATTTTATGTTCATGTTCCGCTTCGAATTCCTATGGCCATTTTGGCTATTATTGCGCTCTGTACACGATTCTTTTAAATATAAAGGATTGGTAAGTTGGAAATATAAAATAAATATAAATATTGCTTATTAAGTGGTTACGTGCTCTATATATATTTTTCTTTTTAGGCATTTTCAGTTTTATTTGTATGCATAGCCATAACATCGGACTTGGTATGTTTATTTTTCGTACCGGTACATTGGTTATTATTTGTAGCCAGCACTTATGTCTGGGTGCAGTACGTTTGGCATACAGGTGAACATGCGGGTCTAATATTGAATGGCGAGGAATTATGAAAGAACTTTTCTTTTACAGATAAAGGCATATGCTTACCAACAATTATTTTATGGATGTTATTTGTTTATTTAGAGGCTGGTATTAGATGGAAAGATAGCCGTCATATACCACATTTAGATTTATGTCGACCTTTTGCAGCACACTGGTAAATGCGGAAATTTATTTTTGAGCTTTATTTATTTTCATTTGTTTTTCCTTTTTATATATTTTTTTTAAGCATTGGGTATCCAGTGGTAACTTTAGGTTTTGGCTTTAAAAGCTATGTAGGCTATCGTATGCGTCAACGCAAGCAACGAGAGGTAGCCAAGGAGAATGAATTTTACATGCAATTATTACAGCAGGCTTTGCCTCAAGAAGAACACCCCTCATCTACAGAAGAGTGTGCGAATGCGATAGCAGCAACAGCTGTCACCTCGAATAATTTAGCTGTAACTATAACCGCCGCGAATGGCACACAAAATAATGCTACACAAAATCATCATCACAATTTCGCGGGCAGTAATAGTAATGTACTTACAGCTAGCGCTGCTTTATTGACACACACTCAAATAGGCAACTCAATAGCCACAGCAAATGGTGGCACATTAATACAGCAACAGCAAGCACAAAATCATCATCATCAGCACCAGCAACAGGAACAACACCATCATAATCATAATAATGGTAACATTAGATTAACAATAAATGTCAATACTTTAAAGTAATATTATTAATAATAAGTAATTCAATTTGAACTTTATTCCAATAATAGGTGTGGCCTCCTCCTCTTCTAATACCTTACCATCCTCTACTTCTTCCACAATAGCATCTGCTTCAGCTACAGCAACAGCAATAACAAGAACAACAACAAACGCAACTTTAAATTGCACTCTAACATCGTTTAACAATGATGACAAGAGCTATGTACAAATCGGGGGTGGTGGTAGTAGCAATAGTATTGGTGGTATATATAAATATTTTAACATATATAATGCTTGATTTTTCATTTTTAAAGCTTTGCAAAGACTTACAAATGAATTCCTACGTTTACTTTGTAGTTTTATGTAGTCGTACTTAATAATATAGTTAGGATTAGGTTTGATGTGGCAATTGCAATCCGTGTTAATAGAAACAAGTTCACTTGATATTAAAAAACTTTTTCTTTTTTTTGTTTCAAAATTTTCTTTGCTTAGACCCAAATTATACAACCATACAACTTCGAGGAATTTTTCACGAAAAATGGGGTTTCAATTCCTTTGGTTTGCGTTTTAATTCTATAAAACGTGCTTTACAGTTTATATAGTTTATAACAAGTAGAAACACCATGGTGAGCCAGGGCATACATTAAACACCTTACAAGTCTTGTGTTAAATACATCCACACCAACTTAATATACCTTGGTATCGTAGTACTGTAGTCTGTAAAAAGCGGAGGGATCTAACATGAAAGATTATTCTTTTTTTTTGTACGTTGAAAGGATTTACAAATATAATATGCGCTTACTAGCAGAGATTTCCAATAACTTCACCCAAGTCGTTCCGCTTAATTGTCTACTTGTGGTTCGTCTTACCTTTGTTTGCACAGGTTTTCCATTTACTTTTAACTTTTAAAATGAATTCTTAAAATATAAATTTTCAAAGAAACTTGATTGAAAAAATGAGAGCTCCCGAGGTTTCCTATTTAAGAATGTATGTGTGAAAACCTGAAAGTAAATATATAAATATTATTGCGCATAAAAAAAGGTGTTGCTTTGATATTCGGTATAAACATGGTTCTATAGGTAAAGACGTAAAAATAATTTTGAAAATTTGCCTACTAACAAGATGTGATTACAATCATTGAGCCGACACGTATTTCAAATTCCCCTCAAGACAGGTATAATCCCACATAAGTTATTTGGAAAATTTTTAGATACAATAAGACATCCCTACAAAAGATTTGTATATAAAAACATAAATTACTTGTACAAATTCATAATTGCCTATATTAGGTATTTTATTGACAAGCATCTTAATTCCATTAAGCTTAGTTTTCTTACAAGTTTTAAATACAACATTAGATAAACAAACTGGACATTGTTTTTCTTCTTTCCTTATGCTGCTTTCAATATGCTTGCTTAAAAACTCCCAATGTAGTGTAAATAGTAGGTTGAATCTAACTTTTGTTGCAACTTTATTTCTAATCTAATATCGTCTAAGCTTATTTTAAAAAGATCGTTTAATCTATCAGCGTTCTTTAAAACGCTGGCTTGAAGGGTAAAATCGAACTTTTATAGCCTACATCACTTGTGGCTTATGCAGATGCTTGAGACAAGTCCACCTTCTATTTTATTATTAAGCTCGTCTGTTCGCCTTGATTTCTTATTTTTGACCTACACGCCAATATATATCGATGAAATTTGATGCACCGCCATGTTCTGGCCCAAAGATGAACGCTATTGAAAGCTCGCTTTTTTCATCTCTTCACATAGAATGCCTTATTTTGAAATGCCTTATATGAATGACAGTATTAGGCGAAGTGGTGTAACGAATTTAACGTGTGGGTATGAATAACTCTTTATTCAACGTTGACATTGAATAATAACAGAAATTGTAACCCATGTTTCATCATCCTCTGTCAAGTTTAGCTTTGTGCACTCCAAGCATAAAAAGAGAAATGGTGTTTTATTGATTACAAAAAAAAATTGTAAAAAGAACAAATGTTTTCTTTTAAGAGTTTTGTAGAATATTTTTCAGTGTACAAATAAGTCACAGTAAATTTCATCAAATCAAAAAATTTTCTACCAATCAATACTATGCCGTTGGGATTGTGGGAGTAGACTCACTTTTCATCGCCAGTCACAATGCGCCAAAGAAGACTTCTTTCTTTGCCTAGCAAGCAATGAAACGTTTCGAGGTGACGTTTTCAGTCAGTTTGTATAGCAACCTTTTCGATCTTTCCCATTGCATGTAAACATTTAGAAACAGTTGAGCTAGCATCTGCTAAACTGCTCGAAAGTTCTTTGAGAGTCTCAGAATTCATTGTCTCCGAACTTTGTTAGTGCTCCCGGCCTTTCTTTATCATTGACGTCAAAACCACCACTTTCAGACCGTTGAAATCACAAGCGACTATCGGGATAAAATGTGCCAGCATCATCATAAGTTTCAAAAAGTGTTTGACCGGTTTCGGCAGCTCATTTTTTTAATTTAAACAATCAAAGAAATAATGAATTCCGAAAGTGCAATTTTAAGCGTTCTATGATTCGCGCCTCTACACTGAATAACTCGGTAATACTAAATGGAAAACTACAGGAGAGGGAGAACGATTTGAAAGATTGAGCAGTATGAAAATAAACTGAATGAACTTTTACAATCAATCAATAGTCTCAAAAGCACATTGTCCTCCAACTAAAAAAAAATAACAAAAAAAATATATTTATAAAATTTACTCTTGTTTTTGTCAATAACTCCAGTGTATATATCAGTTCTGAATTTGACATGGAAGTGAAATCGGACAATATGTACATTTTAGAACACAGTGCTTTTTTTATGTGAGGATTGAATTATTTTTTGCACATATTTTAAATAGACTTTCGTTCTGCTAACTTTATGGCTTGTTGTTTGTTGTTTTCTAGCAACTTTAAATGGTCACATAAGTGGTAAAAACCATCGACGGACCACGGATAAAGAGAATAAACATAATAAGGCGGTTCTAAGCGATTGCGTTAACAGTGATGCTCACTCCAAACATAATAATAATAATCACAAAAATAATTACCATCAATTGCATAATAATGAGAATAACAATAATAATAATAATAATAACAACAATAACAACAACAATGGTAAAGAGAAGCACGAATGGGATAATAACAGTAATTACCAACAGCAACAAACATCATTCAGCAAAGAGAAACACGGTAAGCGCAATTACAAAAATATGATGAAAAAAAAATGAGAGCTAATTTTTTTTTTCTCTGCCTAAATTACTAGAAGATTCGCATACGAAAAGTAGTAGAAAGCCATTCTGTGCTGCGACGACCTTCGGCATTAATAGCAATGCTGCGACTTCATCGCATCCGGAATTTGATGATATTGTGGCCATAGAACCCGTCGAAAAATCGAAAGGTAAATGAAAATAATGAACAAAAAAGGTCGAAGGCCAAAATCAGAAGACGCCATTATGCAAATTCCTTCTGTTCTTATGCTCTCTGGTTTATTTGAAATTTCTTCGTATTTCTCACTCAGCACTCTCTTTTTATAGGTCGGCGTAATCGCTCAAAAAAAGAAAATGCTTCCAAGGACACTCATCACCACGCGACAAATAACAACAATAACCACAACAACGGCAATAGTAATAATAATAACACTCAACATAACAACAGCAACTCTATACACAATACCAGCTCAAATAAAGATCATCATATTTCACAAACTAGTAATCATCACCCTCATCATCAGCATCAAATTCATCATAATAATAACCATCAACATCACTATTCGGATGCCTCGTCGGTGTCGTCGGCTTCATCGGCCACGTCGACTACATCCCACAGTTCATCATCGGCTAATTCGGGTAACTCAGCCACTTCCACTATTACACATTTAGCCTCAAAGGTTGTGGCAAAGATTTGTGAATCTTGCCTTAAATTGGAGGCAGATGTTAAGAAATATCGTTCGGAAATTTTGCACATGAAGCAAATTGAAAATGAATTACGTCAAAAGTTGGACAACAATTTGACCACAAAATCCTGTTTGCTGGCCAAACAGAAAGAATGTGATGAATTGGAAAAGCGTATACATGAGCTTACCAATGCTCGTCACGGTGATATGTTGCAATTGCAAACATTTGAACGCCGTCTCCAAGAAGAGAGACGCCAAAAGCAATCCCTCGATGCTCAATTAAATAATGAGAAGAAAGCACGTAAAATAGCCGAAGAAAAAGCGGCCCGACCCGAATGTAGTACAATGTGCAAACAAAGACGACAACAAATGGATGAAGATATTAAACAATTGAGGCGAGATTTAAAGATAGCTGAAGAGGCTAAGCAATTAGCTGAACAACATGGACGCAAGTGGGAGCAAGAGGTAAATAAATAATACAATAAAGAAATTCTATTCGGGTAGATGTTTTAGAGCTGAACGAATATTCATCAGCGCTGTTTTCGCTTTCACCTTGTGTAGGGAAATTAGGCAGGCGTTATCAAGTTGAAGTTGAAGTTATACATTTTTATTGGTGGGGTTTTATCGTGCTATATGAATAGGAGTAACTAAATTGAAAGAGTATGAACTTTTTAACGAAACGCAGGTCATGAAAATCTCGAACTGTTTGTCAGTATACATGCATCCTCTTTTTTTTTTTTGAGAGTTTCGAACTATAGACCTTAAGAAAGCAAGGAATCGGCATTTGTATATATATAACAAAGCACTTGTAAAAGTAAATATAAAAATATGTTTCCTTGCAGCTGCGCATGTTTGAAGCTGAAATACGTAATCGTGATTCCATACAACCGGGCACAGATGTTCTTATGAATGCTTTGGCTGCTATGCAAGATAAAAATTCAACTTTGGAAAAAAATCTCTCCGCCGAAACGAGAGTTAAGCTGGACTTATTCTCAGCGCTGGGGGACGCGAAACGTCAATTGGAAATATCAGAAAGTAAATTTGTTTATTTATTGTAAGTAACGATTGCCTTATTAATATTTTTACTATTTTTCAAAGGTTTAAGGCGTTCTAAGGAGGATGAAATACATGATTTAAAGGCTAAAATAGCGCAACTATTGGCAGTTATGCCTACAGATTCTTTATGCCTACCGGCCTGTAGTTCCACGGGAGCAAGTTCTATGTTACGTATGAACGACACACCGCCTTTGCAAAGCGGCCAAGGTCCTGCTTCCCCTATGCTGACCAGTTTGCAAAGTGCTGCCCAACAACAACAGTTATCATCGCGTGTAGCACCAACATCGGGCGCGGAATATGTGCAGCAAACTATAACATCGGAGTATGTGACCAACCAACAACAGCAACAGCAGCAATGTGCCGGCGTCGTGCCCGTTTCGGTTGCCACTTCGGTATTGGTTTCGGGAACTCAAGTAACAAATGGAGTAGGCAATACGAATGCCTCTAATCTTGACCCGAACGCTACAGTTTATACGCCTAAAGGCGGTCAAAATAACAATTCTGGTAGCAGTGTAGTCGTTGGTGGCGCGAGCGACTGACTAAACCAACACACCAGGCATACCATAAAGCAACAACATAGACGTCACGTTTGAGATTATTATTATTATTATCTGAAAAGTGTGCAGTACTGTGAGATTATTTCGCGTCCCCCGTAACGGCTATTAATGTGAATGACCTATGTCTACTTGGAATATATATTGTTTTACTTGACACTCTCTCCGATTTGCCTGATGGCAACAATTGGAAATTTTTTTATTGTATTTTTAAACATTTTAGTAGGTGAATGTCAAGGCATTGAGAAACAAAATATTAAAAAGAAATTATAATTGATTGCTAAAATTATTTAAATTGATTATTATCTTATTGAAAAACTACAAAGACAAATACACACACATAAAATGATATATTACAAAAACTAAAGCTAAACTTTGAAATATATACTAGTTTCCCTTCTTCGATTGTTTAATAACGGTAAATTCGCTTCCTAAGAGAACATAAACTTGAAAGCGCTGAGCTTTCATTAACAAAACTTCCATATATGATTATGTTTTAAAATCAATTCATATGGCATTTTTACAACACTTCATAAAATATTCATGCCAGTCTTTTTCATGCAATTCTGTTAATTTTTATATAAATGTGCCTAATTCCTTTCCGCTAAAGAATGGCATTCCGCAAGGATCTCCTCTCTCTGTCACGCTTTTCCAGATCGCTTTCAACGAAATTAGCGAAATTCTTTGCCGTTTACCAAGAGTGGAGCATTGTCTCTACGCGGACGATGTATATATTTTTACAAAAGAAAAAGACAACACGAAAGCAATCAACATCCTCGAATCTATTGCATGTGAGATCTCCACATGGGCAAACTCGTCAGGAGCTATAATCTCTATACAAAAATCAAAAAAAATGCACATTTGTCGAAAACAAATGTGCGATGCAGGAAACCTACTGATGCATATTAACGACTTACCAGTACTAAATGTGCAGACGCTCCATGTTCTCGGGCTCACGTTTTCAAACAATTATCGTTGGAAAGCACACTGCCTTCGGTTAAAAAACTCCCTTTTAACAACGGTAAATTTCATACAGTACGTTGCTTGGAGAAGCCATGCGCATATTAACACTATCGCTTATCTTACCAAAATGCTTGTGTTAAGAAAGATTGACTATGCTTTGATAATTTATGGCAATAGCTGCAAATCTAATATCAACATCCTTAAACCGGTCTATCACAAAGCCGTTAAAGCAAGTTGTTATGCTTTTCGGACGACGCCCATAAATAATATTATAATTGAAACTGGTCTCCCAACTTTGGAAAATAGACTGTATGAGTTAAAAGCTAAAATAGTCCCTAAGCTTCTTAATTCAAACAAATCCATTCTCGGTGATGACGTAAGAAAGATTATTATTGCGAAGAAAATTCCAAAGTCACCATCTGCAATTGACCATTGTTTGTGCGTCGGAAAGGAATTGAACATTCCCTTAAAAATCTCCCGCTCTTTTGGTGTTAAGCCTCCCTGGATTTTGAAAGACTGCTCTTTTGACATCTCACTGTCTATGCACAAGAAAGAAGATATTCCAAATTACGTCTTCAGGAATCTAATAGCTGAAAAAACCCAAGTATTGGACAGTACTGGTTGGAATCTTTTGTACAAAGACGGCTCAAAATCTCCTGGTCTGCCTCCTGCTTGTGCGGTGGTAGATCCTACAGGACGGGTTCTTCTCAACCACATATTTCACGAAAGCACTTCAACTTTCAGAACCGAAGCCAGAGCTATCCTTCACGCTGCCAACCTTGCCCATAAAAACAAGCTCGAAACCGTCATTGTTACTGACAGTTTGTCTGTATTACAAGCTACCCGGAACTTTTCGACTTCGAGATGGAGCACCATCAACAAATTAAGGAATATAATTACTACACCCGACGGAAAAATTAAAATGTTATGGGTACCAAGTCACATCGGTTTACTGGGAAATGAGCAGGCTGATCGAGCGGCAAAGTATGTTGCTTCTGCTCCTCTAATTATGTCATGGAAAAGTTGGATCTTCAAAGAAACATTGGAAGAAAAGTTAAAGAGAAAATTGCAGAAGGAAATTTACAATACCATCATCAATATTACTCTTGCATTAACCCTCAATTAACTCCACCTCTATATCCAACAAATGTTGAGAAAACCGAGATCCGAACATTTTCGAGAATTCGCCTTGGTCATACAATTGCAACTCACCAATGAATCCTGAAGAAGTCTTCTCCCCCAATCTGCTGTTGTGGACAAACTCTTACTATAAATCACATTCTCTGCGACTGCCTCAACTTTTCCTTGGCTAGAAGTATTGTATTTGGAACGATTAACCCTTTGAAGATTCTACAATCAGCTTCAGAACAGAATATCAATTCAATATTTTACTTTATTAATACTACTAAGCTTATTATCTAATATCCGTTTATTTAAATTAGAGCCGATAGCCTGTGTTGCTAGTGCTCAGTGTCTTTTTTTTAGTCTAAGAATTCAATTCATTAGTCTAAAATTAAAATAATAATAATAATATATAAATGTGCCTAATTTCGCCAAATTTTTACTTCACCATTGAAGCGAAGTTCATTAAGCGCAGTACGTTGCTTCATTAATTCGTTTAAAAACCTTTTATAGCAAATTTAGTTTTATTATTATTTGTTTTTATAATATATTTACTTTTATTTACCAATTTTTCACTTTGTCGAATTTCTTTGTGCATTTGTAAAACGGCTTTGGTTTCCCGCTAAAAACCGTTAGCTTGTTTTTTCCTTTGCAAGGTTTGTACCATGCGTGGAGAATGAAGAAAGCACAGAGTTGCTTTCAGCACAGAGTTGATTGCAACGCATCGAATGAAAAAATGAAAAATTAGAGACTAAAGTGTGAGAAATTAATGGTCGATTCTCTCAGAATGCTGCATCGAAAATCCATATTATTAGGAGGTTTTCTTTTTCTGACCATATTATCTTATTATATAATTATGTTGTTCTTATTTTTCTAGCTATGGAGCGCGAAGTGCCTCGAGAGTCGCTTGAAAAAGCTTACAACTGGAAAAGAATAAGCTATTTCTCTGATCCTAATAAAATTCTAATTAATATTTTTGGAGATATAACTTGTTAATATCCTAATATATATTGTTTTCTAAAAATAAATTAAATTTTTAAAAAAATTTTCTATAAATAAACTAGAATTATTAACTTTTATGTCCAAAAATATTATTGCACGATATGGCAATATCGTCTGCTACTTACATTCTTCGTCATAATTAGCTTGTGTTAGCTGTGCTTCTGGTCAAGGCTTTATTTGTTCAGTGTTGAAAAAAATTTAAACTAATGGCTTTTGGTAATGTTAACACGCTTCAGGGTCTCAAGGAATTGAACAATTTCCTTATTGATAAAAGTTATATTAGTGGGTAAGTGACTCTCAGCGATGTTCATTAAAAAGTTAGGTTATTTTGACACGTCTGTCATTTTCGGCACATGTTCATTAGTTATCAACCAAGTAAAGCTGACATTTCGGTGTTTGATGCTTTGGGTAATCTTCCGGCTGGTGATTATTCACACATACAGCGCTGGTATCGCCACATTGCATCTTTTGATGTCAACGAAAAGTCCGTTTGGACCGGTCAGCCCTTGCCTCAAGTTGTTAGTGCCAAGTCGACTGTAAATTCTTCCACTCCTACTGCCGAGGCCGGTGATGACGATGTAGATCTTTTTGGCTCCGATGAAGAAGAAGATGCCGAAGCTGCAAAAATACGTGAGGAACGTGTAGCGGCATATGCTGCCAAAAAATCGAAAAAACCTGCTTTAATAGCTAAATCTTCCGTTCTGCTTGACGTAAAACCATGGGATGATGAAACTGATATGGCGGAAATGGAGCGGCTAGTTCGCACTGTCGAAATGGATGGTCTTTTATGGGGTGCCTCTAAGTTAGTACCTGTAGGTTACGGTATTAACAAATTGCAAATCATGTGTGTTATTGAAGATGACAAAGTATCAATTGATTTGCTAACTGAGACAATCCAAAATTTTGAAGACTTTGTTCAATCGGTAGATATTGCTGCCTTTAATAAAATCTAAGACAAGTCTCGTTAATCCATTTAAAACCAATTTTTTTTTACTCCGATGTCATTAAATAGAAACTCCGTCTTTGCTATGCAAAAATCTGCAAAAATTGATAACGTTTTTGTTTATTCGATGCTCTTAACTTTACGGGAGATCAATTTGAGGATGCTACATTTTCTATCACGGCCGCATCTGCGGAAGTGATGTGGTAAACTATATTTGGAAAATATCAATTGTGGGTGATTACTCAATAACATCTTTTAAAGATTGCTGATCTAAACATATACAGTTTTTCTGCAGAAGAACGGGGGGAATCGTTTGCTATTTAGCAACAACAAAGTTGATAAGACTTAATATAAAAATCTCATTTTTTCTTTATTAAGGCAATAATGAGATAAAAGCAATACAATGTTGGCAGGACAATAAAGAACTAGTGTTTATAAGTTATAGGAAGTAATTAAATAAAAGTTTCTGAAAATAATTAAGTAATTATGAAAATCGAGATTTTCAATTTTTTGAACTAATGACATCCGCTTGATATTTTTTGGAATAGTTAATCGCAATTGTAGAAATGCAACATCTCAATTAGTCATAAAGGGACACTCACATAGAATAGCCGGCAGAACTGGAAACATTGCCAGACATATCTTTTGCAGGTTCAGTGCTTTCATAATGTTTATTATTAAATAAAGTCTTATGTACTCTAAGGCCAGCTAAAAAAATGTCAGGACTGCGATGGCAGTAAATAAGCCGTAGAGTTTTGTAATCCGATTGTACGCTGGAGCCAATCGTATCAAGGACAGACGGTAAATAGTTTTCCATCGTTTGTCGTCTGCGTGAATCAGTTTAGTATCCATTTTATTAGAAAAACAAAAATTTGTTTGAAGGATATTACCAAATTTTGGTCTGATTATAAGTTCATTGTATTAATACTTTCTCAAGCAACGCTTAAGAAGCGAAAAATGGAGGGAGCATAGAGTTGCTTTCAATAAATTGCAATGCGACAATTCTGTTAAAGTGATATATATTTCAGCTGCAATTCTGTTAATAAGAAATTTCTGCCAGAATTCTGTTAAATCAGAATTTGAGGATTTTTTAGTTAGAACATTTGTATTATCAGCTGGTTTCTATTGACATTTAGTTGGATTACTTTAAACAGATTCAATTGTCCGACATATTGATAATAATAACAATTCAGTATCATTTTCATTTAAACTGCGGTTGTACAGCACGGACGATTTAAACATTTGAAAGCGGGATATAAATGAGAGCATTTTTTAGCGTGAGAAAAATTCATAGCATGCCTAAGTAACTTAATTTGCAAGCCAGCTAATTTCAGAAGAGAGTACACACCATTAACTTCTGGTTCCAGAGACATGCGACTCCGTATACCACAATCAATTCGGTGCTTGTAATCACAAATCTAAAAAAAGAACAACACCTATTTATTATTTATGCGAGCTAATTCGTTCAAACTCAATTGTATATTTACCACCATCACCTACAAAAGAGCGGAAACATGTAAAAAATACAAATTTATAAGTTTATTTTTGTTAAACTTTTACAAACTCTCAGTTTACTCCATTCTTTTTCTTCTTCGATATTAAAAGGACTTGGTTTTTAAAATGTCGGCTATCAGCTTTAATATAACGGCTAATGCCAATGTTTTGTTTGCGTCGTCTTCTTATACTTAGGCGATAGATAGTCGTGGACAATCTATTTGTACAAAAGCGTCAATATCTTTGAACAAAGCCATCTCTTGACGATATATTTCCGATATGTTGGTAACTTTAAAGCCTCGAAGTAGTGGACGTTTTTCCAAGTATTTGTAACAACGCGCATTTCCGTGCCGCCCGAAAGTACCCAAAATGATACCAATTTTTCTAAGCTTCTTGGCTCGCAAGATTTCTTTATAACGCATTGATTGCATGGCCAAATGATCACATAATTCAATACTAAATTCTTTTCATAAGGATCATATATGTAGGCATCTATCTCAGGAAGCAATAGAAAAGTGACTAACCTATTGACATGTTTATTTGAAACAATTTTTATTTAACATTTATACTTTAATGGCAACATTCGGGTGACGATCAATAATAATTGTTGCGAACCAGCTTCTGCAGAGAAGGTTTTATCAAACTGAAGCTGTTAATATATGTATATGATATAAATAAATAAAAAATATGCAAGCAATTGGCTATTTGTTGTTGACTTATGTACGTTCTTTGTTCTTACCGCAGATTTCAAGAAAGTAATGGCTAATATAACAACAACAAGTACATACATATATAATGTACAAGTGCATAGAAGTTGCGCGGCGCACATTTGGTGTTGTATGCCGCCAATATGAACCATCGCAAGAGATGTAAATCAAAGTCGTAAAAAAAAGGAAAATATTAATAATTTTGGTGCATTATAGATTCATATGTTATTATGGCAGATTTGTATATAATTCTTTAAAGTCATCGCGCTGTTCATTTTTCGCGCAGGATTTCGAACATTTTTTATAATATTTTATTAAACGTTTTATTTTAAACATTTCTATTTTCACCTTTATTCATATTTATTCGAAGCAACTCTGCGTTCTTTCCATTCTCAATATGTGGTACTTTTTTTTTTATAGAAAATTGAAAGAAAGTAAAGAATTTTGGAAAAAACTAGGCAACGGCTTTCTGTGAAAATAGAAAAAATTTGGCACACTTCGAAAGCATTGGCTAAATTGAACAAAATTTTCCTAAAAAAAAATTGAAAAAAAAAACATTTGAAAAAAGGATAATTTTCCGATATTTATATAAAATAGCTTAAAAAAAAAATGATAGTTTTTAAGTGTATTTCAAAAGCCGCGCCTCCTCTATATTGTAATTCTTTTTTGTATAGTGAGTGCCATAAATATTCATCCTAGACGCACTATTCAGCGAACTATTAAAGGAATACCCGGATTTTTGGGGGCTGGAAGAGCGTTATATATGTTGAAAGGTAGTTGGTAGGTAGTTAGCTGACGTACTGACACAAAAAACAAATGTTGCTGCAACAATACAAGATGTTAGGAAACAATTGAAAGGTACTAAAATGAGCTTAAAGCGATTAGACAAGTCGGAGAGGGCAGGTTACACGGGTATGTGCGCGTATGTGTGGTACGCGCACAAATTAGGATTGAAACGTGCTGTTGACAGAGTAACCGTACAAATGTTAGCTTACGGGGAAATACCCGTTGACATACAGCGCAAAAACATACAGATTAACACAGATTGCGAAAATTTTTTAGGGTTTGACGAAACGGGCATAAAGGACAAAAGATTTTCAGAGCAGTTAAAGAAGCTGATGGGCAATAAAAAGATCGAACAGATGGAGAAAGAGACGGAGGAACGGATGGACGAACAGACTGAGGAATGGCCATCTTGTATTAAAAGCCCCGATGGATATAATGTAAACAGGTACCCCAGTTGGACATACGATGAGGGACCAACAATGTCGTCCGAAGCAGCGCGGAGGGAGAAGAATAGACACCTTGAACCCGCTACAAATCCAGATGAAGGCCAAGAAGTTGAAGTAGCTGGAAGGTTAGTGGACATTGAAGCATTGCGAGAGGTTGTGAGGATATTAAGTCCTCACGAGAAAAATATACAACTTCATTTCTATGAAGTGTACACAAACCCCGGATCAGCATATTCTAGGAAAGAGGCTATGCTATATCGATGCTGCTACATCCTTGAGAGAAAATTGTCGAAGACGGAGGAGTACCGGATGGTTCTGTCCTATCACCCTCTATAGAGGGAATCTGGACGAACTAGACAAAAATTTAACAATCGCAGAGGACATCGGGCTGGATGTGGAAGCGGTGGTCTGCGATAGGAGTAGCCAAAACCACAAGACATTGTCGAATTTCGTAAACGGCAAATGCAACAGGCAACGAGCGCATGGTAGCATCTAATCGTATACATGTTCGATTGCATACATATCTTGAATGGATTCCGCCAAAAAATTGGACTACTCAAACAACGATTCGACGCCACAATTGTCACTAAGATAGATATGCGGAACGCATCTATCTCAAGATACTCGAAGAGAAGATGCGCCAGCTTATTAGTTGTCGCACCTCGAAATTTCAAAGAGGCAATTCAGTTTTTCACTTCTGCAACGCCAGCAATGTTAAAAACAGCAACTAACCGGAAAATCATCCGTGATGACCAAGAAATCCGGACATATGAACTCATCGCCGCTTTAACTAAACTCAACTTAATATTTCACAGCGGCAAGATCAGCAACTCCAAATGGCACGTCCAGAAACCGGTGTTAGCAGAAGCTAAAAAACATCTCGAGGACACCTTTGCGGCGGACCTGCTAGCGGACGAAACCGTGGAAACCATAAATAAGTTAATGGAATTAATGGGTGGGCTGCGGGAGACCTACAGGGGAAGCCAGAACCTACTGGAACGTTTCTTCTGCAAGATAGCGCCAATGCAGAGGAAACGTACCAGACCGACGGCGGATATGGCTGGTCAACCGCTTTATTAAATCACAAATCAAATTTTGGGGAAGTGGCTCCAGACCAACCTACGATTACCATCTTATAGAAAAGAAGGATTACACGGTGGAATACCAGGTCAAAGAAGAGTTCGTGCCATTTGGCTTGGATGGAGCAGGACTACATCCGGTTCACGGGCTACGGAATAGCTCAGTATATATGTGAACAGCTAGGATGCCAGGTATGCGTCGAGGATAAGACCTTAAGAAAAGAAGATGCATACTCCGAAGTTGGCGATTACATTGTCGCCAATGGCCTGAGAGACGATGTCATCCTAGCCCACGAGTACCTCGAGCACGAACTCCCGAATCCTAAAGTCGCTGCCGTATTTTATGACGCCTGCGATATTTACATGTCCATTATACGGCAATACATGATCGAGGCAAACGTCGGCAAGCGCGTGCAGGCGGCGATAGTGGCACGGCTTGCCTTCTTCGGGGAAGCAGGCTCCTGTACCAAACGAAGAATTCCCCGAAAAAATCTTCTAGGCTTCTTCAGCAGTTTTTTGCTAATTGGAAAAAAGTGGGTACAACCAACTCTCACCAGTATGTGGTCATTATAAAGGAAAATCTTGCGAGAAAACCAGCAAAATGAAGATCATTAAATTGTTTTATTGAATTATAAGGAGAATCAGGCTTGGAAAACGGCAAATAAAAGTTAATTCAAATATAATAAAAACGCATTAATATATTTTTTTCTTATTATTATTATTATAAATGTAGCCAGAGAATAAATTTTAGGACTAAAGTCTTAAAGCATTAGCATCTAAGGCTTTCGGCTTTATTAAAAACTCTACCGCACTTGAGATTTGAACTCACGATCTATGAGTTGATAGTCGAGACTCTTGCCTACTCGGCCGCTCAGGCGGATTATATATATATATATATATATATATATATATTTTTTTTTTTTTTACATCCTTATTTGTATTTAATTTTGGATAAAAAGATAAGTATCAGCAGTATTATAATGTTACATAGGTATATTTATAAATTTCTTATTATTATTCCATTTTAGATTAGAAAAAAATCAAGTCTAACTCGCTCCGTTCATCGCCTCTTATCGATAAAGATCCGGTGCATGTCAAAGGTAAGTTTGCATTTATCTTTACTTATTATTATTACAAATTATTCATTTCTTTTCATTTTATTTTAGATTAAAAAACAAGCATACGCCTCCACGCATAGCTTCAACAGAATGCGATACTTGCGTAGGCCAAATGGTAAGATGTGGTCATCTTTGTTTATAATGTAATGTATTAACCACAATATTTTTCTTTTGCAGATGCCAGCACACCGTAATAGCAGCAGTTTTTATTTATTTATATGTTTTTTTTATGAATTATACATGTATCTATCACTACGTATGTATACATTAGCCGGGATTTTATTTATTAATGATGGTTCGTTGAACTGCCTTAATCAAACTTTTTTTTTTTTAAATAAATGTTATGATTTTCATAACATCAACATTATATTGCTAAAACATCGTCTTTGACATATGAGGCTTGTTTTCTCAACCGGAAGTATTGAAAGCTTATTGTCATCGATCTACATCACATTAAATCTAGCTATTGTCGCACCTGCTCCGATTAAGCAGTGCCGACCTCGAAGCAGGTGGTCCCCGTGGACGTTTAAATATTGTAAGAATAGAAAAAACACGCTTTTCAAAAGATATTCGAAAGGTGGCTGTGCTTTCGACTACTTCGCTTACTCGGTGGCAAGGCATAGATTTAACTCCCTCAACCATCATTATTACTGCAGATACCTTCAGTTCATTAAATGCTCTCTGTTTGCTAATCCTAAATACTTTTTTAAATTTGTTGACTCTAAAAGAAAAATTTCCACATATCCCCCTTATTTTCTTTTAATGGCTGTGATTCCTCGGATGATTTTGAAATCTCAAATCCGTTTGCTGAGTTTTTCCGACGTAACTTTTCGATTGCTAATTTCGATATATCAGCAAACTACCCATATCCTATAACTAATTCTGTCGCAATTCCTAACTTGGTAATTTCGGAAGATGACGTTTTTAAAGGGTTGAGTTCTCTAAAATATTGTTGTGCGTCAGGACATGATGGAATTCCATCATGTGTACTTAAATCTTGCACTGTCGAGTTAGGTGTTGTGATCTCAAAGATTTTTAACCTATCCTTGAATTTAGGTGTTTTCCCTTCGTGTTGGAAGAGCAGTTTCCTTATTCCTATCCACAAGAGTGGAAGTAGACAATTTGTTGAGAACTACAGAGGCATAGCCAAGTTGAGTGTCTTGCCCAAGTTGTTCGAGCGAATTGTGACTCAGCATTTGGCCTTTGCCATTAATTCGTATATTTCTCCGCACCAGCACGGCTTTCGGAAAGGGCGATCTACAGTCACTAACTTGTTAGAGTTTACTTGTCATGTTTTCAAGGCTTTTTCTAGTGGCTCTCGCACAGATGTAATATACACTGATTTAAGCAAAGCATTTGATATGGTTAACCATAACTTACTTATCTTTAAACTCCAAGCCTCTGGCTTACCTTTCTGAAATGGATAAGCTCTTATCTGCACAACAGATCCTTCAGGGTTTTGTTCAACTTTATCACTTCGGATGAATTCACCGTTATATCTGGCGTACCTCAGAGAAGTCACTTAGGTCCCATTTTAGTTAATTTATACGTTAACGATCTTCCATCGGTGGTTAATTCCAGCCAGATCTTAATCTATGATGATGTGAAACTGTTTTCCTCCTTCTCTGTTGAATCGCAATCACATCAGCTTCAAGGTGACTTAGATAATTTTTTTGCATGGTGCTCTATGAATCTTTCGAAACTAAATCTGAGCAAATGTAAGAAGCTTTCTTTCTCAAGAAGAAAGTCATTCATTACTCAGTATTTCATAGATTCGTATAAGTTGGAGGATGTGGATTCGATTACAGATTTAGGCGTTCAATTTGATCGTAGGTTACGTTTCAAGTTGCATATTGAGCTCTCGATAAGCAAAGCTAGGTCCACGCTTGGTTTTATAAAAAGGTGGTCCAAAGAAATTGATGATCCCTACATTACGAAAAGGATGTACATGTGTTTGGTTAGACCCACACTCGAGTATGCCTCTGTTGTGTGGTGTCCTTCATATAGGTGCTATGTAGATTCAATTGAATCTGTTCAAAAGCAATTATTGCTGTTTGACCTTAGAAATTTGGGTTGGAATTCGATTGCCTCTCTTCCTCCCTATGAAAATAAGTTGCTTCTGCTGTCCTTAACGTCTCTTGAGAAACGTAGATTTGTTCTTGGCGTTTCCTTTGTATACAAAGTAATAAATGGTCCTATTGACTCTCCTTTATTGCTTGGTGAAATAAGTTTTAAAGTCCCTAACCGCTTCTCTAGGCACTTTATCTTGGTTAAGCTGTCAGTGTAAATATAATTATGAGCTGTTTAATCCGCTCAGAGTAGTTTGTAAGAACCTAAATAACGTCTATCACTTATTCTCGTTATCGGCCTCTTTAAAGTCCATTAAAGAAACATTGCTTAATACGCGCGATTTACCTATGACTTACTTAAACTAGCTTTTATCCTTGAATGTCGTTACGATTGGAAAACGAATTGTTGCTAAGTATTATCGATTGCCACGCTTATGCATGTTTGCGATGTCTTAGGGGTTCATTTGCAATTCGGTCCTGTACCGGTTGGAATTGTTGGAATTGCTACCGGATTGATTCGATGCCAATTCATCAGACTTACTTCGAGATTTCGGACTAAGCGATGGTAGAAAGAGATCAACAAATGAAGCTATTAAACGTAACAGCAATAAACCTATGCGTAAAATTTCAACCTAAATGCACAGGATCCCAACGTGTTAAATTCCAAAGGCTTGCTTACTGCTTTAACTTTATTTGCTAACAATGTTAAAATCGGAGAAGGCATGAATTGGCAGCAAACGTTAATGCCTTTATCAACGATAGTTTCCCAATTGACATGGCCGGTATTGCTATATATAAACCGGGTAAAGGTTGCTCAAAGAGACAGTGGTGCTAATAAGGACATTTGGAAAATAAATAAAAATTAAATAAAAAGAAGTAAAATGGAAAATTTAAATAGAAACGAACACAACGAAACTACAGAAATAAGTGCAAATAGCTTTCTGTTCTTAGCTTTCTCTATAAAATTTTGTATTTAAAAATTTTTCCATACTGTTTACCACAAGCGTAAGCGTAAATAATCCAGTATAATCCAAATAAATATCCAAATAAATATGTAATGTGGCATTTTTACAAGGAACACCTATGAAATTCTCTGCTAAAATAAAATTGTTTTTTTTTCGTATGCAAAAACCAAATAAAACTAAAATTTGAAATTTTGTGCTGTGGCTTAGTTCGAACATCGAGACTTATTCCAAGATTCCTATATTCCGTTTTGTACCATTACGTAATACGTTTCCGTTTAGAAAATTTTCTGTCAAAACTTCTGCATTCATCTCCCCTTGTACGTCTCCTGAATAGTTTTGTACAATTTTTATAGGCGTGGCATTCGATTTTACCCTATTTTCAAAAAAAAATGAATATTCTCTTTCCATATATATTCAAACATGGGTTGTGTCGGACAGCTCTTATTCATACCTATTCTGCGCTTTGGCGGTTGTGTAAATATTACCTATGGTTTTGTGCCTAAGTTCGTTTGTGTTGTATGATTTTACATGTTCTATGCCTACGAGCCATTTCATGCAAGTTTTCTTCATTCTCTTTACCCTTCGTTTGGTGGAGTGTGTGTTCTAGCGTAGGCCTGTGCAATATGTGTCTATACATTTTCTCTTTCGCCGCTCTTTTATAGCCGAAGTCTCGCTCGCTTGTCCTGTTGCCAACATGTTCTGTGTGTTTACATATGCTTATGTGTATACTTAGCTTAGGTTGGCTGCAGTCGTAACCTTAGTTACGACTTGCATGATCCTGCTTATACATAACTTGATATCACTTACATCTAGCTTATTATTATGTTTGTTCAAATTCCGACGCAACAGGCACCCAGGTACCAAATCGCGTGATTCAATCACCGTTAGGTATGTGAGTGCTTGTGCCTTTCTTTGTCACTGTGTTTGCATATGCTTGTTTTTTTGTGTGTTTCTACATGTGCGATCGTGTCTTTGTACATTTTGTGTAATATTGTGTGTGTGTTTGTGCTCTTTGCGCGTACGGGTATTGGTGTGCATTGCTGTGTGTGACTCTAACGTTTATTCGTTTTGTCTGATCATATATTCATTGTAGAGCATAAGGGTTTCTAACTGATTATATACCCTAACGGGGTTTATGCAGTAATGCGTAATATGTAAGCGTTTCTACAGTTTGCTTATACAATTTTTCGGCATACAGATTCCTATATGTTACTATGGCCTGACAGGGATGTACAATGCTATGTGCGATTCTTTGGCATGTGCGTTTGTAAGCGCGTGTGTGCTTATGCATTGCGAAGCGCAAGGGTTTCTATATGCTTATTTGACCTGAAGGGATTTATACCGTAATGCGTAATATGTACGCGTTTCTACAGTTTGCTTATGCAATTTTAAGACATATAGATTTCTTCTTGTATATGTTGTACCTATTCCATATAGTTTTATACCTATGTTTGACTTGGGTTTGTGTTATAAGACTTACAAGTTCTATGGCTTTGAGTCGTGTCTGACAAGCTTTATTTGATTGTACTCATACATATTCTGCGCTTTGGCGGCTGTGTAAAAGCTACATATGGTTTTGTGCCTATGTTCAAGTAGGGCTTGTGTTATATGCTGTTACACGTTCTATGCCTATGAGCCGTTTCATACAAGTTTTGTTCATTCTACCGATCTTATACCTATTTTGCTCGTGCCTGTATTATACGTGTTTATACATTTTCTCTTTATAAGGTATTTAATTTGTATTTTATGACTTAGTGCTTTTGATGTTGGAGTGTGTGTTCTTATGAATTAACTAACGTCGGCCTGGACAGTATGTGTTTATACATTTTCTCTTTACACGGTATAGGCATATTTAGTGTGTGTTTTTATGATGTTTTCTCTTTACACGGTATAGGCATATTTAGTGCGTGTTTTTATGACATTTGATGTTGGGGGAGGCCATTCGTGTATTGTTCACAGAACGATGTGCGTGGACAGCTCGGACTTGCTGACTACGGAGTGCGGGTGGACTTTTAAGCGGACGGACTTGTATTTCGTAAGGAAGCAAAAACGATTCCTTATAATTTATTTATTACTTATTTATTTCTTCTATTTTAGAGAAAAAAATTACACCCAAATCTCCGCTCATCGCATCATATACAAGAAGGTTTGCTGTATGTAAAAGGTAAATTTGCATTTACCCTTTATTATTATTATGTATAAATTATTCATTTGCTTTTATTTCAATTTAGATTTTAAAAAAACACCTACGTACTATCGCTTCAGCAGAATGTGACACTTCCGTAGGCCAAATGGTAACTTGGGGTCATCTTTATCTATAAAATTCAGTAACCACCACATTTTTCTTTTGCAGACATCAACACACCGGCACAGCAGCGATATTTATGTATTTATATGTACTTGTTATGTATTAAGTATGTATGTTATGTATAAGCGGGGCTTATATTTATTTGTTATTACTGCAAATATTATAATGGTGTTAAGCTTATAATAGTGCAGGCCTACAGGGGAACCAGCCATTTCAGACAATTCGAAACGCGCCTATCACGGTACCTTAAATGTGGTGTGAAAAACCGTGAGAAGAATCTTATGGCATGTAGAACTAACCAAGGTGAGTGGTAATGCTTACTTAATGTTACATATTATAAATTTAAACAATTTTTGATAAAAACTATTTCATAACAATTTATAACAAAAACACTTTTAAAACCCAATGCCAAATTTTCTGAATTTTTTAAAGTTTTTTTCTTTTGTATTTTCGCATTATTTGAATTTTCTCATTCATTTTAAAGTGTCACGCTCTACTCTTTTTAATAAAGAAGAAGAGTTTTTGCTAGACGAAAGAGCGGAATAAGTCCTTTTTCTATAAAATTTTATTTTTCAGACGCTTATAAAATGTTATGCAATTAAATTTTGAACTAAAATATATATATATATACAAATATTATTTTTAAATTGCGTATTAAAAACAAATGTTCCAAAATGTGCACGTATGCACGTACACAAACATATATACAAAAGAAAATGTTTAATATTCAAAATTAAGGCTTGTTGTTTAAAAATAAATGTTATAAAAACAAATAAGATTTAATTAAAAAAAAAAAATAATAATAATAATACTTGAAAAAAGAATTGTAGGTTATTCTAAAATATTATAGACAAACACTAGAATAATTTAAAAAAAAAAACTGCTTTCATAATATTTATTGGTTATATTTAAAAAAAGGAATTTTCTTTTTTCTAATTTTGAAAAAAGAAAAAAATGTTATGATAGATTTTAGATATATATATGGAATGAATATATATATAGAAAAAATCTATTTAAAATTTTAATATTATAATATAAATCTACTCTTATCTAATTATTAAAATATAATATAAGTTAATTTTCATATTTAATACACGATATAAACACTAGAAACCAATTATAGTAAACTTTGTAAAAGGAATAAGAGAACAATGAAAAGTTAAAAAACAAAGGTGACTACATCTGATTTTGGTATTAATAGAACCTCCACAAATTATTTATTAGGAAAACACGACAAATTTAAACTTTTTGTGGTATCAATAGAACCTCCCCCAATTATTTATTAGAAAAACAAACCTCCATCAATTTTTTATTAGAAAAACAAAGCTGATTTCATCGGCTTTTGTTGCGTTAGTGTTGCCTTCACTTTAGCTAAAGTCATACTCTGCTGTTCCATAGCTGAATGGCTACCTGCTAGCAGGGGTTCATTTTATCGAATTTAACAACTTAACAAATGCCGTTGTACGCTATATATATATAACATCTATTTTTCAAACTAATATATATTGAGAACGATAGGTTTGATGGAGGCGCACTTGCACTAATACCGAAATTCATTCAAAAAGTAACCCATTCTGCATGTTTTCAAACAAGGTGTCCTTTTTCCTAGATTTTGTTTGTTTACATTTAGCAACACGCGGTAAAACAAAAACAAATGCACAGGCCCTTGTTATTGCATTAATCCAACAACAAGACACATAGTCCCTTTTTATTTGCGGAAACAAAAACTAATTTTGTTTGTTTACATTTAGCAGCACGTGATCTTGGCAAAACAGAATTTAATCGTAAGAATTGCAGTTCGACATATAAGCCACAAATTTATTGGCTTAGTCCATCTCCACTCAACAATCCAAAAAAAAAAAAATAAATAAATAATTGCAATCTCTAACGAAACATACCTGGAAGAGCGTATAGAATTCCAAGTTGAAATACTGCTGCAATTATTATGGTAAAAATTTCTATCTGAAGATTGATTTTTATAAAGAATATCGATGTTTTACTTGCTTTCTCTGCCTCTTCTTTTTGTGAATTTCTTTACTTTGATAGATTTTGGAGGTTTAACGGAAGCGAGTTTTGCAAAGCAAGTATATGCAAAGCAAGTATATGAAGTTTGCTGAATAAATTGTAGATGAAAAAGGAAAATTCTGTGAAATAACATTAACATAACATTGAAATAAAATTCAACATTGCCGTGTTTACAGATGACGTTAAACTGTCCCTTTCCTGTGACTCAATACATGGTACTAAACCTCTTCACCTGATTTTGAGAAGCTGTGCTTATGGCGTGCAACCAATGGTGTGGGGCTCAATTCCAACAAATGTTTGTTATTACAAAGACAACAAATGTTTGCTATTAGGAGTTTTGAATTACACAAAGTTTGGCGGTCATATTTGTGCGGCAGTAAAGCTAGAACTCTGTTACAGTTTATAAAAATATGGTCTAAAGATTTTAAAGACCCACACGTTACGAAATGTTTGTATACTTCTTCAGTTAGTTCTTGATTATTCGTCGGTAGTTTGGCTTCCTAGTTATAGATGCCGTATGGATCTCTTGGAGTCTGTTCACCGGGACATTTTGATGTTTGTCTTACGAGGTTTGAGATGGGATCCTATCCTACCCTTCCACCGTAGAATAATAGACTGAAGCTCAGTGGTTTACTTGCCATAGAAAAAAGGCGTGAGGTGTTTGGTAAAAACTACCTATTTATGCTTATAAAAGGTGAGGTTTATTTGCCTTCTTTATTAAAAATTATTGAAATTCAGGTCCCTAGTACGATCTCAAGACGTTTTGTGCAGCTACTCAATACGCTACCATTATGAGTTGTTCGCTTCGGGTAATGTGTAAAATGTTCAACGATTACGTAATTAACTGGTCAACATTTTTGAGTCTTTTATAAATATAGGTAAATTGAATTAAAATACTTCTTTATATTTGATCTTTTAGCATTTGTTACTATCAATAATGTAAGCTAATATCCATTCATCAATATATACTTTAGCAAATTACTATAGGGCTTAGATAAATTTTGTTCTTGATCTTATATTTGTTTTTACTTATGTTTCCGCTTTATATTACATTCTAAGTTATTTTGTAGCTTATATTCAGCTGATGGCTAAATTAAAGAGTCATAGTTAATAAATATGATGTAATGTAATTATATGAATAAGCAAATATCATTTTTTTTCTTAATAACTACTGCACGTATACAGGTGGAACAGGTGTTATTCGGAGTACATATCGTAAAACACAATGTGAATAAATTTCGTTAAAGATAATTAAATATTTGTTTGTTTTTTTTCGTTCTGCTTTTTTTTCTTTTTCCTGCTTTTATTTTATATTAAATTTTAATAAATATACATACGTTGACGCTGAAGTCAAACTTCATTTTCCATAACGTTGCGAATAAGCGTGAGGTTCTCTCGCGATCTTCCTTCATTTTTTTTTCGCTAAGCTGCTGATATTTTCGTTCGTCGTTCGGCTTGTGTGACAGACTTTTCATGACCAATAATAGTGCGTTTACTTGTTGTGGACTGGGATTGGTGGATGGTGAACTATGTTTGCGTATGTCGTCTTCTACAATTGAGATTATTATTAAATTGATGTTCATTTTTCACTGTTGTTCAATTTTCTGGCTGCCTTCCCTTTCTATAAATTTGTTTTGTATGATAATTATATTTGTTCATAAAATAAACTGTTTGAGCCCCTTTTGATAATGATTCACATGTATGAGCTTAAGGTATATACGAAAAAACTCATGTCTCAAATTTAACTTTGTTGGCAAAGTTATTTTCCCGAACAATCTTCATATGTGCGTATGTGTAATTGCAGACAATAGCAACCTTCTTTTGTTTTACATTGAAACCAAAAAAAAATATATATATTAAGTTCTACTTCCCCAGCGTTTCTTTTTTTTATCTTTGCATTCTTTGCTTAATTAGGACAGAGTAACGAAAATAACTAAGAAATTCGTAAAACAACTTTTTTTCTTTTATTCAGCAAAATACAAGGCAAAATATTCCACAAAAATTTCTCGTCTCTTGTTTAAATTTCCATAACTTAAGTCTATGGTGCAGGCAGTCGTCTTCCAATTTTGGTTAATATATTAATGTTAATAATTTTTTGTTCTTTCGTAATATTTTAATATTACCAATTTCCTTCTTTGCGTCTATTATTTTTCAATTCTGAACTCTTTCTACAAAACTTGCATAATTTTCTGGTTTTTACACCAATACATTTTTTTGCTTTTATTTATTTCTTATTTTTTTTGTTTTTTGCTTTTTTTATTAAACAGCCAATAAAGTAGTTGTAATTGTAATGTTAAAATTTTAGCAATTTTAGCCCTAATTAATTAAATTTCTAATTTGAAAGCTGACGAAATCTTATAATTATTTCGTTTTACTGCTATTTATTTAACAAATTTATTAAGTTTTATGAAAATTTTAATACATGATATTGTCTTCGCACGCGTTCCGTTCAAGATGTTCAAAGTAAAATCCATTTCCCGAAATCGCGCGCGCTTTGCTTTCTACCTTAAACCAACACACTCCGTTCTTCATTGCACCACATTTCAAACCCTACTCTCCTCCTCAACTCACCGTGGAAAGCTTCAAAACCAGAACTACTTTTTTCTCTTTGTGTTGCTCGTGCTTAATTTTTGCTCTTCTTTTATCTTAAATATCGTTGAGCGAGATCTTAACATGACAAAGTACTACGTCAAATCTGTTCAGAACTTCAGATACAAACAAAACTAATATGCTCTAAATACACAGACGTATTCTTTTTATGGTTCTCTTTTGCATAATAGAATGATTTAGCAAGAGAGACAATTATGACTAGAGATTTTTCTTTTTCTTCTTCTTTCCCTTTTTTTCTTTGCATAACGGCAAGCCGCTATTCTTGCAAATATGATTTTGCCTAACGGCAGTCCGTTATTACCGTCTTACTTACTCAATTGTGATAGAGCAGTGGTGAAAGCTGACCGACGAAAAGCGATTTATGCAAAGCTTAACAATTCCTTTTATTGAATTAAAACAAGCCAATAGCCTATGTCGTCGAATGAAGGCCTTGATAGAGCCCACGTTTAAAATGTTGCAAGTAGAGAATGTTTTAAAAACCATTAATGAAAGGGCATTTCCTCGTCCACCGAACACTAATAGGCAATATATGGCACGATTCATTTAACATTGCTGACTGACAATCATAACGATACTTTATATCGGCTTCCTAGGATGGTTTTCCACGCCTCTCATGAGGTACCGCGACAGGCGCGTTGCCAATTCTTTTAAATGGCTGGCTCCCCTTTAGGCCTACACCATTATAGACTTAATTAAAAATTACAATAGTATTTATTTATTTATTTATTTATGTATTTATTTTAAT